AAAGAGAAGACAAGAGATGATCGTTCGACGGCAATACGATCATTCGATTTGGTATCTGCGTGTTCCAGAGGGAAAAGCATTGAAAATCCATCGGAGGGGCAATACCGATAACACTTCTCCCTCTCCGCGAGAGATAGTCAGTCTCTTCCCATTCTCTCCTTGGTCTTTGCCTTCATTTTCAATCAACGTCTCTTTCACTCTTGTGAAGGTCCGCAATCATTACGAAACCCATCAAGTTTCACCGGCACTGGAAGAGGAACTCGTGGGAAATAAATGTACTCTTGCAGATCCGCCCCTTTACTAGTCTTGTTTAACGTACGTGCCGCGTATAGCTGGATCGAAAACATGTTTCGAATCATCATGTAAAATCGAGGTGGTACGCAGAGAATTCCTATAAGGCTATTTAAAAAAGTACTTCCATTCAGAAATTGTATTGAACTGATCCGGCGGTGCCTGAGTAGGATGATGACGAACAGTCTCTCAAATAAAACAAAAAATAATGTCCTTTGCAAACTGCCTAACAAACTCATTCAGAAACACCTGGTGGATATCGAAAAGCCCTTGAAAACCTCCGCTGTGCAGCAAGAGTCTGCAATCATTTTGTTTGTGAAGTTTCATGATCCTAATGTTCATTTTCACTCGTTTCAGACTGTCAACAACATTTCATGGGAGCCACATCGACACATGTCTGAGCGAATTAGAGTATTTACCATCATCAGCCATTGAAATCGTCATCCGCGACACCCACTGCCAAAGTATATTTTATGGCTGAGCAAATCGGGTCAGTTGTAATGGCTGTTGCAAATAACCGAGCATCTGTTTCAATAACGCAATGGTCATCTGATACTAGCAATTCATAAATTGGCTTTAAAATATTCACTGTAAGTCAGAAGAAAACCAAAGAGAGGGGAGACGGATCCAAAGTTTTCCTGCAAGTCTCATATATTTTCCCAAGAGATCTAATGTGTCATCGAGATGCCACCAAATACTTTGGTAAAGACTCTTTAAATTGTTTTCTTGAAATAAGAAATTTCTAAACCACTACTAAACAGATTCCTGTTATGTTACAATAGCCCACAGCCTCTTTTAACTCTGACTCAGAGAAAGACAAAAGTTAATTATAAAATTCGACTTCCAAGATAACTTTGCCGACTCCAAAACTTGTTGAGTGATTTTTTTTCAACTCATATCAAGCAGCTGGAGGATAGGAACACAATTCTCTGTAACATCAACACGATTGGAGTCCTTTTGGAAGTACAATGAGCTGATACATCAATTTTGTTATAACATCGGTCTCCCCTACAATCATCTGATGTAATTATTGGGCTCTGATCATTAATTACAATCAGAACAGAATAAAATATGTGGACCTAAATCGTAATTTCAATAAATCCAACTATCACCCTAATAGAACCATGCCTGATTGGAAGACGTTCCACAACAAAGCATGTTCTATATTCAACACTGAAAAATTCTGCAAGACAAAATTACACCAAACTGGTCTTTTGAACTCAACCTCTGCAGAAAGTCAACATGTGTTGAAAATGAAAAAGCTTAATATAAATTTTGCAGGAAAAAAAGACAAAAGATAGACTGAGGAATTAAAGGCGATGGTGAAATGAACATCACTGCCAAGGAATGTGAAGGAAATACTATGCAACAATGAAGGACACCACAATACATGACACCACAATACATGACACCACAATACATGACATTTGAGAAAAAAATCAAGAGATTTGCTCATCATAGGCACTGTGACTGTTAGAAGGTAATTCCAACAAAGATTTGAGCTTCACAAAATGACTCTCATCATTTTATGCAGGAAAGCAGCAGGAAGACACTAAGGAAAAAATAGCACCAAAGTTGAGCATTTGACTACATTATGTACATTGAAACCAGTCTCAAATGTAATATTGCACATAATGGATGAATAGAGCTCTTCTTAAATCTTTGACTCTAAAAGACTTAGAAAACTTAAAAGTCATCACTGCACTCAGTCATCAAATCAAAAACAAGATGAGGTATCTGCTCCACCAAAGCAAAATGAGCCTATGAGATTTGGCCAGTTGTGCAAAATTTAAATGATAGTCATACTTGAGAAACTGAAGGCACTACTGAATGGTCAAAGGCTCTTCTGTCAATCCCTCCTCGGTTGACGAAGTTCCTTCTGAATCAGAGATGCAAGGCGTGCCATCCCCTACAGAGAACAAAGGATTAAAATTTTATTCGAACACAGTAGAAGGAAGAAAGATGCTGTGGTCTTAAACACGATAGGAGTACAAAAACAATCAACTGATTATGTACAAGTTATCCGGCACATTTCAAATTTACAGCAAATGTTCATCAAATCACAAATCTAGCATCTGTTTTTGGTCTGCATAAACAATTTGGATCTCGGCGTAGAGGGTAAGATAAGTAAATTTGCAGACGACACCAAGATAGGTTTTTCTGTAAGGGGGGAGGCAGATAGGGCTAGAGCCGAGCGATATTTAAGTCTTTTGGATGAGTGGAGTAAGAATTGTGTTCCTATCCTCCAGCTGCTTGATATGAGTTGAAAAAAAATCACTCAACAAGTTTTGGAGTCGGCAAAAGGATTTATAGCAAAATGTTCCATGCATAGCTTAACATTTGTCACCTTAAGCTTCACCTTAAGTCTTTTGGATGAGTGGAGTAAGAAATGGCTCATGAGGTTTAATAAAAGTAAGTGTAAAGTTCTCCACGTCGGTTAAAATAACGGTAGGTCTCTCGACAGGTTCGGCGAGGTTAAACTGGGGGAGGCAAACGGAGAGGGAGATTTGAGTTTCTATCGACAATGACCTCAAGTTTTCCTCACACGCGCAAGCGACGGTGGCCAAATGCAGCAGGATTCTAGGTTTCACTCGTCGTTCGGTTGCAAGTAGGACTTCGCGCGTAATTCTTCCGTTGTATGCGGGTCTGGTAAGACCCCAGTTGGAATATTGCATCTAGTTTTGGAGACCTACACATAAGGGTGAATTGTGGGTGCTCGAGGGGGGACAGAGGAGGGCCACAAGAATGATTAAGGCGGTTAGGGGACTTCCGTACGAGAAGCGTTTAGAAGTGTTGGGACTGTACTCGCTCGAGAGAAGGTTAATGAGGGGCGATCTCATCCAAGCTTTCAAGATAATTAAAGGAATAGATAGTGTCGAGTGTGGTAGGTTTTTCCAATTCGATGGCAGCAAGAGAACGAGAGGTAATCAACTAAAGTTGCGCAAATCGCAGTTGCGGCCCAGGTTGAGACAGGAATTCTTTACTTGCAGAGTGGTGAACGCGGGGAATGCGTTAGATGACGAAGTAGTGGCTGGCCCTTCTGTGACTATTTTAAAGAAGAAACTGGATGCTTTTATGGACAGGCAAAAAGGTGGGGGGCAATGTTGAAGTTAGGTACTAGGCAGTAAGCAACTAGGATACACTAAATAAAATAATAATAATAAATCCCAAAAATAAAAAATATTTAGTTTTAAGAGGAGTAGTCCCACCCTAAAATTAAGGAACGCTCGAACTTGACACATGATATCGAAAAGGGTGTAATCACCTCTTGATATTACAAACTACCTTGATCACGCGTAACAGGCCATGGCAACCCTGAGTGGCCATGTCATACTGGGTCTTGCTAGCATGATCAGAGCCTTCCCGGGTATGCGCACAGTATTCAGGTCGGGTCGGTTCTCTTGGACTGACCCGAGTCACGTTGTTCGGGTCGGGTTTTCATACGCACTTCAGGCCTAGTCTTCCTCATTCTGGTGAGACTCGTCAGCTCCCTGTGGGGAAAGGCTAGAGAGAGAGAAAGTCAATCTATTTTGGAGAATGATGGGTCAGTTGTGTTAGAAAATAGGTTGACTTTCTCTTTCGGCCCAATATAGAAGGAATGCGGCAACCGTGGTATGTTTTTATAGTTAGTTTTATGAGGGGGGCTTCGGTTTAGTGAAAACCCACAAAAGCTGATGAAACGATAGTCTGAGTCTCGAGCTCCGAAGTGATTACATTATTCAAGGGGTGAATACGGAGGCAGCAGTGACACTGTTAAAACGAAAACGGGCGTTCTCGGCCTCCATTCAACATGGCTGCCTCCACTCGGCGTGGGGAGCAATTGAGCTCTAGAAAAGGGGGTATGTGCAAAAGATGCGTTTCGAGATAAACGATAAAAAACTTCTCATAGCTAACCTGAAGCTGGTCAAAACTTAATTATAAGTCAAATGGCATCTTAAACCTTTTCCAATTGAACTTGGGGTTTTAATGAATTTCTTTATCTCGCATTGCAGGGATGCAGGCTGAGTGTTTATGCACATACGCCCGTTTCCCATATTCACGCTGCTGAAACTTTTTCCAACGAGTCATTCACCACTCCTTTCTAGTTAAAAATAATAATTAATCAATAAATGGATCTACAGATTTCAAATTAACTCTTTCTTGAAGAATAACAATGAAAATGTGAATATTCAGAATGTGTTTCATTCACCAATCACTCAGCAGTGATCCATTATTTATGTATTCATAATCTGAATTTGCATCTATTTCATGGATATCTCCAACTTCTCACATCCATCAAGAGGCTTGAATGGCTGGACCTCTTTCTTTCTGTCTGATTTCTTCCTCATTTTCACTTTCAGTATAAAAGGACAAAATAGTTGCACAAAATTTTTCAGCATGCAAGTGCTAATGGAATATTCATAGAGGCAGCCATATTGAAATTGGCAGGCAGTTGGCCAACTATATAGAGAGCATAGGAAAATTGCTTCTCCTTTGCTAAATATGCATCTTAACTACTTGCTGACCACCCCATCCTATGACTAGTCACCTAAAGCAGCACATGGACACAGATATGGAAGAAGGGCGAAAAAGGGAGTATGGGCACATACCCCCCTTTTCCAGAGAACTCCTGTATTTGTAAAGCTGGTTTGCAGAGTGGTATGGAGCCCAAATCTGTATGTCTGACTAACCCCATCAATATTATCTTATCCTTCCCACCAATTGTGTCCAGGTTAATGTCTGGTGCCTATTCTCCTCAAGCTGCAATCCATTATAGAGGTGTCATCCTGTGGGATGGTATTGAATCACCTGATTACTCCAGACAATATGCTTTCAACCTGAATCCAATCATAATCCACCCCTAATGAAAATTCCAACACCTATATTTTGGGGAAGCTTCATTGGGACTGCTCTTGGTGGAACCATTATTTTCAAGTGAGATTTGATTCAGTTTCTTTTTTTAATCAGCATATGAGACCAATCCTTACCTTTTAATGTTTTCAACATCTTACTTGTAGGGAATATGTCATAGGAGGAAAACAATATACCAAGGGCACTTCAGCAAAGGGTTTAACAGCTGTTGTAACAGGTGCAAGTTCAGGAATTGGGAAGGCTTTAGCTCGAGATCTTGCAATGAGAGGAGCCAGAGTGATCATGGCTTGTCGTGACGATGAGAAGTAAGTTCCCCAAAATCTAATGAAGGAAAGGCTGAACCTTCAGAGAAAAATGACTAATTTTTCAAATCATTTATAATCCCCATATAGGTGCTACATGGCAAGAAGAGATATTGTGATGGAGACAAAAAATCAGCATGTTGTCTGCAGGACATGTGACCTATCGTCTCAAGAATCTGTGCGGGAATTTGCAGCAAGAATGAACAATGGTGAGTTGGATTATGCCAAGAAAAGGAATATCACAATGTGAAGAAGACTTGTCACTTTTGAAGGACTATATCTTGCAGAGGAACTCCAGGTGAATATCTTGGTGAATAATGCTGGAGTAATGAGATGTCCTCAAAGCCTCACCAAAGAAGGAATAGAGTTGCAATTAGGAGTGAATCACATGGGTCATTTCCTGTTGACAAATCTGCTCCTCACAAAAATAAAGGTGATAAGTGCCACACTTGGAGTTGAGTTTGCGGAGATGGATGAACCATGCATGACTTGAGATTAACCTTTTCAGACTCTGCATTCACTCAAGTGAAAATCACATTTCTTATTTCCTCATATTCCTCTTGTGCTTTCTCATGATTCTCATGACATTGTCCCCCAAAGTTGATTACAGTCAGACACAATTCTGCATCTAAATTGGTCATAAATATCTTGGTAATTTTTAGCCAAAGCTCTAAGCCAGGATGAAATCTTTTGATACCTGAACTCCTCAAACTCTATTAGAATCTTTTGAATTTGAAGTCAAAGTGAGTCCTATTTCTTACATTGCCATCAGACCCCCATTCTCTCAGAGTTTCTGCTTCTGAAATAACAGCAGGCAGATCATTCCCAAAGGTGGCCATTCCCAAAAGAGCCAATCATGGCAAGTGCAGCAGTCTAGTAGAAAAATGATTCAAGAAAGACTAGTCTTTTTGAATATCAGAATCTTTCTAAGTCTGTTGGATCCAAACTTCCCATCTTATACAAATTGTTAACAAATTTAGTTTGGTTTTTAAACTGAATCTTGAGTGAAATGTCATTCTTTGATGAGAAATTTCAAATCATGAATTCCATTCATCCATCTCTGATATAAAGTTATTAGTTAATTTTCCTCAAGTATAATTCATGGTTTTGTAGGCATCCAAGCCAGCCAGGATAATCAGTGTAATAAGCATTGCATACCAGAAGGCACCTTCCATGCACTTTGAGGACCTGAATTCAGAAAGGAGTTACAATCCGGAAGATGCTTACAACCAAAGCCAATTGGCCAACATTCTTTTCACAAGGGAACTGGCAAAGAGGCTTGCAGGTCTGATGATCTTGCCTGATATTTCTACTCATTGCATTATGACTGTCCAAGGGCAAATATGTGGGTGGTTCAAGGGAAACCTGGACTTTGTTCTGCATATGGCACCAGTGCATGTGGATCCATGAAAATTTTTATCACAGACAGGCAGTTTGATGGTGATACAAAAGTTCTTTGTGGTGCCACTGTTTCTGGATCAATTTCATATGATATATTCAAGATGGCATTCCTCCCTGTATTAGGGACTACATTATTTTGCTTTATTTAGGGAAGGAAGACATGACTCCTGCTGAAATTCATGGTAGACTTGTGGATAAGTATGGTGAATCTGCCTTATTGCAGTGAAGTGAAAAGGACTGGTTTTGTTTTCATAAGGGGAGGCAGCACACAGGCCAGGAGCTGAGTAGTCCTTTCACACCCCCTTCTGCAGTGATCTGACTTCTGTGAGTGAGTGAAAGATGATGGTTTTTTACCTTGGAAAAATGGGGAATATCCCAAAGCAGCTCAGCTAAACATGTGAAGTGCAGAAACAAGATTCCTTAAGAACTTGACATTTTGAAAAGTGTCATGGCCAATGGCATCCAAGAACCTGCTCATGCTTTAGCCATGGGAGTGAAAAACTTCTGCATGGAGCATGGACCAGTTTGAAAGTAAGGAGAATGACTTAACTTAATTCAACAGAGCCCCAAGCCCTGATAATGAATTCAGATCCTTGCAGGAACAAAGAGCACTTCAGCAGAAATCATGAGCCAGTTTGTGTCCTGTAGTGGGTTCAAGGCCTGTCCAGATATTTACATGCTATGCTACCATTGTATGGATGCTCATAAAGTGATGATGCAAGTAGAATGATATTGTCGGCAGGTACTCTGAGAGATAGGTGAAATCTTGTGAATGTGTCTCATCCTATTAAATCACAGCCCAAGAAAGTCCAGGTTTCCCTTGAATGACCCTTGTACAAAAATTATCCATAGGGAGAAATGAAATGCAGCCTGCAGCAAGTGGAAATAGAAGATGGAGTGAGAGTGTGTGTGTGCACATGTGCAGTGAGGCCAAATATTCACAGAGGGGAGGTGCTTCAATATAGTGAAAAGAGTGAAAAGGTCAATGCTGCAATGCATGTCACTATCTCTTCCAAGATAGTGACATGCATTGCAGCGTTGACCGCTTAACACATTCACTGCCAAAATCGACTATGGTTGATTTACAAAGCTCTTGCTAAAAATGCCATCATTGACTAAGGTTGATTTGAAAGGTCTTGCATATATAACCCCACAAAGCACCCAGAGATTGTGTGAAAGGTGATGTTGCTGGCATCCAGGGTTCTTCTCAGACACTATTTGGCACTAATGACAGCATTTAGCATTTCTTCACCCTTCCAGTCACCTACAATCCCACCCCTTGTTTACCAGCCTCTGTAGACGACCCCCCACAAGTAGTAACCATGTGCTCAAAACGAGTGAGGGATATACTTTAGGTGCTATAGATAGTGATATTGATTTTGTTTCCAAAATTTGGTACAGATTCCTCATCTGATCAGGGTGAGGATGTTGAAGGTGGTGCAGGTGCATCCTACCCACAAAAAAAGAAAAAATCACCTAAAAAATGCACTCCTGAGTGTGCATGCAGCACAAGAGAAGTAAAACCTGATTTTTTTGTGTGTTCTGTATGGAATGTTATTGCATCAAAATGACTTTTACTCTCTTGTTTCATGCCTTTGAAGCCTGCCAAATAATTATTGAACATTTCAGATTTTTAGCTCTTATGAATTTGTTATTGTAATTCTCATTAATAATTTATAATTAATAATTGTCATTCTCATTGCACACATTTTCACAGATCTGGAAAAACGCTGGCAATCTAGCAATGCTCTCACTGTAAAGGTCCAGCAGTGAATGTGTTAACAGCCCCTACAGTGATGTGGACTTTTTTGATCATGCTCAATAGCCTTGAAATTCCCCAAATTTTTACTTTGTGTGTATACATTGGAGCCATCCTGAAGGACAAAGTGGAAATATTTATCTTCAAAGAACTTGCAGAAAATCAATATTCACAAGCACAGTAATAGAGAATTGCATTGTCACTGTCCTTCAAGAGCTTCATGATCAAGATGACCACTCTCAGTCACTGTTGATATCTTACCCTAAGTGTTTATAAGCTGTTCAATGATCCCAATGAAGAAACATAGAATTTTTTAACACTTGAGAAAAATGTAGAATAAGATGCCCTTTCAGATGAATTCAGTTTTTCTTATTTATATCGATCTTCTCTATAGAGGGGGGCCACTATCATTTCCAGGCATTCAGTACCTTGTATTTCTTTTTGAGAGGTTTTATTTGGCTTGGATAAAGTATCACAGGACTTTCAGCTAATTCTCTGCACTGCTGCCATCTTCATGCTTACCTATTGAATATATTTCTATTGAAAATAATAGATTCTTCCTTGATAGTGCATATTTGACTTATTTTTTCTGTTCTTGCCTTCACAGGGACTCATGTGACAGCTAACTGTGTGAACCCAGGAACTGTCAACACAGAAATCACAAGACATCTTGCTTACAAGAATAGCTTTCTTGGACAGCTGATAGCAACACCTATATTGTGGTTAATGACCAAATCAGCCCGACAGGGAGCTCAGACAATCCTATATGCTGCATTAGATGAAAATTTGGAAGGGGTCTCAGGGAGATGCTTCAGGTAAGACTCTTGTAATGAATGACCATACTTTATCAAGAATCACAAATGAGCTTCAATCAGTAAGTCTGAAGAAAGAGGATTTGGAAAACATTTTGTTGTTCCTCACAGCAACATGAAGGAGCATTCCCTTTCTGATGCAGCTATGGATGATGAAGCAGCTCATCGCCTTTGGATCACTAGTGAAGTTTGGACAGGACTGAGAACATTGCCTCAAATCTCATAGAAATGTGATATTTTATTTTGTTAGATCACACTAGAATATAGATTTTCAAATGAAGAATTTGCCTTTTACATTTGTCATTCATCCATGTTCTTGTCTTATTTGTCAAGCGAGAATGATGACAATTATCTCTATGGACAAATTAGTCCAAAGCACTTGAGTGAGTGCTCTGAGACTGGGGATGAATTTTCACCACACAGAAACATGAAATTCTGATTACATACAGTCTTCATGTAACTTTTATTGATATCCCTACTTTTTATAGGTATGTTTTTGTAGTAATTTGGTTTATAGAGGATGGTGCCTGATGATATCCAACTCCTGCTGGGAAGGAAAGACTTTAGAGTGTATCTCCAGCTGTTGGTGCAAAGGTTGTGCAGGGACCTAGATAATGATACAGCAGTGCACAAGGAAGAACTTCTCTGCACTTTGAGTCAATTGACCATGTGCTTCTCACTCATAGAGTCATGGGAAACAGAAGTCAACTGTGATGCTGTAACTTCTATTGCCCAGGCTGTTATGAAATGCTTCTCATATCTGACACATGAGAAATCAGCAGACAAGAACCAAAATGTGATTTTGAAAGCTATGAAGGCTCTCTTGATATGGAGTGCAACAAATCCTGAGAGCACAGCTGTCAGACAAGACCTAGCCTCCCTGGCTCACTTAACCATGAAAACTCTTCTCAGTGAAACCCAAGAAGATGGTAATGAAGAGATGAGCATTCTCTGTCTGAGAGTGTTGGAATGCTTTGTTTCTTCAAATTTCAGTTTCAGCTCGTGTGATTGGAGCATTTTGTTTTCCTCTATCAAGTCCATATTCACAACAGGAAACAAGAAGCTTGCAATTTTTGTTGTTCAAAGTGAACTCAGGTCAGTAATCCTGAGACCAATTGGGAAGGATGAGCCTTCCTTCATAATAGAGATTTGGAATACCTTGCAGAACTCATCACTCACACATGCTGAAGTGTTATGGAATTTGTGCATCCTTTTTGATGCAATAGCTGAGGAGATTCATATCTTTCATGATCCAGCTTTCTGGGAAACTCTCCAAAAGGCCCTGAAGTCACAAGAGCTGCAAGTCACCAAAAGAGTAGTGTATTTGCTGAAGAAATGCATTGAAACAGTTCAGCAGAAACAGATTCAAATTTCATGTGAATTGTTTTGGACACCTCTGTCAGTGGATGTCTGGCTAAACTACTTTCTAGTTCTTGAAACATTGGAAGAAAAACAGGCTCATATTGTGTCTTCTGTCTTGCCAAAGTTGGAGTCTTTGATCCACTGTGCCACTAAGCAGGAGCAGAAGATTCATACTTCTTGGATCCTTGCTCTATTCTGGAAGGCAATGAGACATGACAACTTCCAGATTGTCCTTTGGACTGTTATGCATTTCTTAAAGTTGTCAGTGAAAGCATTCCCAATATTTGATCAAGGTGGAGAGACATTCATTACAGATTCGTTACTGGAGGTCCTACGATTGGAACCCCTATATGCCAAAGCAAACCAAGGTCCTGAACTGAGAGAACTTCTGACTACATTCTTTCAAGACTGCTTGAATCTTGGAAATTTTCAGTCAAAGTTACTCAATGCCTTTTTCAAGACTAAGTGGAGTGGAGTAGTTTGCTTTCACCTGAGCTATGTAATGTCACATCTCAAACTTCCTCACCCAATTGACAGTGCAGATGTCTTTCTCATGAGACAATTCTTACTTGAGGTGGTGAGCAGATATGAACCATACTTGAAAGTTGGATGCCAGTGCAATCTCTTGTGTTTCATTTTTGGAAATCTGGCTGAGGAACCCTTAAGCTATGAGTCTTGCCTGAAGAATCTCTACTTGTCATTCCCATCTGGTCTACAACCTGGTTCAAAGTACTGGGATGAGCATCTGAACCTGTTCTCACAATTGCATCATGTTATAGCACCAATCAGTGCTAATGATGATTGGAAAGATGCAGACCCCAAATATGTGGCATTTATCATGTTATCAACAATGGAGTCCTTGATTGAAGAGAAGCAGCATCTTATTGTGATGGATCTCATCATTGATACCCTTCAGTCAGCTCCTTTGAGGCTCTATTTGTCAGAAGGAAAGTTAGATTTCTGCATAAAAACACTTGTGGAAATATCTTTATGTCTAGACTTGGCCTTGAAGGAATCATCATTTCTTATCATTAGACAAAAATTGTTGGAATGCCTTCCTTATATTTATGAGATCTTGACTAGTTCATGCTTTCCTTGTAATGACTTGAAGGGCCTGAACAGATTCAACATGTGGATGAATAGTCTGGAGATGATCATTAGAAGTCTGCAAATAGAACATCTGCACAAAGTAATTATTTCCAGTGCTCACTTGTACAGTCTCAATCAAGGCCATCCAAATCAGCACTTTCAGAGAATGGTGCTAGCTTCCTCTCTTCGCCTGCTTCACATCCTAGGTATGCAAGAGAAGCTCAATGAGGCCTTCAGATATGTGACTATTGAGGAGTTGGCTACCTTGGATTTTGATTCTTCTCTTCGTGCTGAAGAGCCTGAATTATGGAACAAAGCTATTTCTGACTTTGTGAGGAACACCTGGGAAGTCTTTGCAATTTTATCAATGGAGAGAATACGGACAGATGCACCTCAAATTTTGACATCCTATGGACTTCAATGCCTTCAAGCCTCAGTTCGGGATCCTTTGGTTTATGTTCTCCATGGCATTTACATTATTGTACCTGTTCTGAAGGAGGATGTCTCAATGCTCAGAGATATGCTACGGTTGACATGGACAACAGTTTTTGAATCCCGAAAATGTGAATTCTTTTGGAAGGGTATGGAGCACTTCATAAAAGTGACATTCCACCTTGACATCCTCATGTCAAACATCTACTTGACAGTGCTACAGGAGGTAAGATTCCATCAATACACCTCTTTGTAAATTATTTTAAATGCATACTCTTTACTGTATGATGATGATGATAATAGTCACATAATTCCAGCAATTACCAAAAAATAAATTTACTTTGAAGTAGTGGTACTTCAGGGTAGTTAGTTCCTTCAGATTATAATTAGTTATCATTAGCAATTATCATTATCTCACTGCTAACTCCTGTCACCTGGATGCTGGAAAGAGGCAAAAGTGGACAGCAAAATACATACTGGAAGCCTGTCTCAGAAAAAGACTAAAATCTTGGAAAATATTTGTTGTTCAGAGTGTTGATTAGAAAGTCACTTGATGGATGTATGGTCACTCTAGCATGAAAACTGTGAACAGCATTACATCATTGGAGGAGAATGCAACATGAAAGGAAAACATGCCACTTATGGGATATTGGTGATGCGACAATTTATGTATGCAGCAGGTACAACCATTGGGTGGACATTTAAATTGTTGCCATGAAGGTCTAACAATAATTTTTCTAGTGCTGTGTGGAGATGGTGACCTAGAAGCAACAAATACCACTTGTGCCATAACTCATATCATTTAATACAGAGGTGACATGATAGGCCTAGTGCTTTATAGTGGCTTCTTATATGCCTATTCAATAGCTGCATCTGTTGTGGATGTAAATTATATCTCATAAGTACTTACCAAGGCACAAGTTTTCCTTGTGTAATGTTCCCCCTTGATGTCATGATTCTATTCCTCGTGTTTCATTGAGCTGTGACACAGTTTGCACACGAGCACCTTTCATTCTATATTGCAGGGGGATTTGTCATCCTGTATATCAGGCAATTAGAATGACTATGACAGAATGGAATAATTGAAAAGTTATTGTGAGCAATGTCATTAAGCTTTATAAGCATCACTTAATTACTGGACTGTAACACCTGAAAAAGTTTTGGGCTCTTGAAGTGTGCTCGTTTCCTTCTCCCACAAGGGTCAAGCAGAGCAAGTATTTGCACAGTCCCGGTTAAAGCTCACTGAAAGCTGTTTTTCCACATCTGCAGGGTGGCCCCCCAAAAAAGCCTTTATCTGTAGATATTATTATGGCAGTGGCACCTTTGATCCAAAGATTGTTTCCTGAATGAAATATGATTTCTCTTTATTGCCCTAAAACAGAAACTTGTTTCCTCTATTCTACAGTAGTTGGTGGTACCCTGCAATTGAGCATGCCACTGTCCTATTGCAAGCTGCAATGAGCCAAGGGGCATGGTTTACCAGCAATTATTGCCATTTTTAAGTCTTCAATAATCCCAGGTGTTTTCTTGGTAGACTTTTTTTTTCAACATACCCTACATCAAATGATCATCAATATCTGCATTGGGAGGCTACATAAGTAGTTCAGTAATGCCCTGCACTTCATTTGGCAGGAAGTTAAAAGAAATTGCCCATGTCACCAACTAAATTTGTGCCTGATATTCTGCAAATATCTGGCTCTGGCTATGGGAAAACAGTCTTGTGAAAAGAATGCAGATTGTCATTTGCCACAACATTATCCAGAGCATTGATGATTTGAATAGAGCTTTTGTCAATTCTTGGCAAGCCATGCCCATCTCCTTGTTGCAATTTACAACTTGACATTAGTGAATAGAATTGCAAAAGGCACCATTGAACAGAAAGGAGATATTGAGTACAGGATGGGTAAAAAAAAATCTTAGGTTGTCAACATTTCTTAGTGTAGTTTCTCAAGAGTTTGAAAATATTGAAATAGCATCTCTACAGGGTGTTCCATAAGTCATAACTGAATGATATCATGTCATTTAGAATTACCATTAGTAAAAAATGAAGGCATTACTGAGTTTTGAAGGTGCCTCAAAATGTCCTCTGCCTACATTAATGCATTTGGCATGAGGCTCAGCACCAAAAAATTGCTGAAACTCCCTTTGAACTCTGATGGAACTCTCAAAGACCAAGGTCAAAGTCTCAAAGGTTGCATCTTTTCTTCGTTGCTCCAGTGTCAATTGTGAAGCCTTTGCTCATGATAATGAAATCAAATTTAATGCAGTAATATTTTTTATGTTCAAGTCTATTTGAAATTAGAAGGGGAGAAAACAAACTTTAGCAATTTTGCTGAAAAGGATTCAACCAAGTGTACCAAAAGTGACCCTAAACAAGTAAAACTTTCTAATATGCATTTGAAGCTATTTCCTTTTGATTCTGTTTCCAAGTCATTATTGTGAAAAAAATTCCAAAGATCGTTCTTCCCATCAATACTAACAGTGACCTGCATGTTGCATGAACAGACGAAATGTCGTCAGGACAAAATGTCACCGCTGAGAAAATGGTGGTTCTGGTGTTTTATACCCACGTGGCTGGAGGTTGAAGTAGGATAGGCATAAGGAGGAAGTTTCCTTAAGGAAAAAGCTGAGTACCAAGTACATGCTAATAATATTCTTTCAAATTAAGAGATCACATGTAGATATTCACAAATAAGTCCAAAAAGGGAAAATCACATGACAGATGAAGTTCAATCACAGAACATTAATGTTGATAACACATCCAACATTAAAAAAAAATTGTACAACATCCCAATTAGCAAAGTCAGCTACCACTGTGCTGAGAACCTCATTTATTCATTGCTACTTCTTCATTTTCTTCAGAGATGGTAATCCCATGTCATACTGCTGATTTTTTACTGCATGCAGAATTTTTTCCTTCCACTGCTATTTGGTTTTCTTATCTATTTTGAATGACCTTTTTAAAGCTTAGGGTCATCTCAGCAGGGGAGTAGGAGTCTCATTCATCAGGCATTTTTAAAACAGGAGGATTAGGGGTGAGGAGGACTTGTAAGGGGGGTGGTTAAAGAGGAAAATTAATCTTTTTCCTGGGGTTGCTTCCCTCCCCCCACCAAGAAATGTCAAGATGTACATCAACCCTTCATGGAAAACATTCAAATTCCTCTTGCAAATAACTCGCCAATAGTAAGAGGCCTTCAGAACGTATAGGCTTCCTGAAATGGTTTCAATGACCTATTGTCTATAGATGGTTATCATGTTAGCTGTATATTTGTTGACAAGGTTCTTTTAAAATGCTAGTGGGTCACTCTTGGGTACATTTCTTGACTTCTATGCACGATTCCAACATGATTGTCTGCACTATCACATATTTAATTATGCAAGCCGAATATTTTGTCAAGTGATGTCTCGTTTAATTTTGTCCAAAAAATTTTCCCGTGACATTTTGTCCTAGCACTGCATGTTGTAGTTTGGAAAATATAGCAGTTTGAAATAGTATAGTGATTTACACTTTTCCAGCACCATCTTTTATACTTTTTACCTAACTGCATGAAAGTTATTCCACAAATCCTTATTCTGTTAACATCATTGGAAAGCTGAATGAATGAATTTCCTACACAGAGGCACTATTGCAATTTTAGGAAACTCTTGAGGACCAGTAATGTGGTGTGGTAAAGATAACCAAAGTTTTTTATTGTTTCACCCGGTATTAATGCAAAATAAAGAGGTATTATTTATCACTCAGAACAGCATTTGTTTGATAGCTGCCACTGCCACTTATGTTTGTCATAATTACATATAAAGGTAGGAGCTTCCTTTTTTTGAGGCCACCCTATATAGCTGCACACCCATGGTGTTTCCTTTCAATATCTTTCTCAGTTAATGTTGAAATTAAGTTTACAGATGCATAATAATACATGTGTACTTTCCAGATGTGGCAGGATCTCCTCATTGCAAGTGATGGCATTACTGGCCTATTGAATATTGCAGCTTTGCATCTTGATCAAGTTTTGAGCCACCTGAGGCCTGAAGATGTCCCCTTCATTATTGAAATGACTGTAGATCTATTGTTGTTTGGCCCCATGCATAGGAAAGATCAAAGGTAATGACAGCTTTTGAAATGGCACAATTGATCTGAGTATACCTATTATTCCATATTTCTTCAGAGGTGCATTCAGGTTTGATTTTATGGATTTTTGGACCAGGATATATTTTGAAGCTTGTGAAGAGATAGAAGCCATTCAAGATCACCCTGCCCATGCCATAGCCAGGTATACCTTACACTGAAACCTTCCACTTTCACTCCTGAAATGAGGAAATACCTTCATTGGTTTGCTGCCCCCACCAATTTGAGACAATTTTCCACAGTCCGCACTTAAGGGATGCAGAAGTACGAATCCTTGGGGTGAAAATCTTATCACAAATCATGGAGACAGAGCAGCTTGCAAAAGAAGCTCTTCACCTTTTGCTTGCAAGATGGGAGTCACTAAGGACTTTGAATCACCGTCATTTTGCCAATTCTTCTCATCATCGCACCCAGCACAGGATCATGCAAGCTATTCTTCTCCTTTATCCCTCATTTGTCGATGTGAGCCACATATATAATTCAAACTGGTGAAATGGCATTTTCAGCATTTGATATTTTCTACCTCTTTTAGACAACCAGTTCAGTTGTTTTGGAATGGGGTTGCAGATGCCTAGCCTCTGGAAACCCACAACCATCAGTCCGATACATGCAGGAATGGCTAATTGTTCTAATACTCAACAGCCGTTCAGAACTACATGACACCTTCTACACCTTCATGTCCAAAGTAAGTCTTAATACTGTCAGTAAATACACAAATGACCCAATGTTAGACTTTGGTTTCTCATGTGTTTCAGGCAAGTGTAGACCGCATAGGAGGAATGGGTTCCTTTGTGAGCATCCTATGTCATCTGGTTTGCTTGAAACCTTCTACTAATGCTATGGAAAGAGCATTCAGTGAGATATTGCCTTGGTGCATGTCTCAACATTTTTCAGCTCGAGTTTATGCTCAGGTTCATCACATCACCCAATTTTCCCAAATAGATAAGTACTAATACCTGAGACTAATCATTACAACCTATAACTGTATTACAGGCAGCAATCCTGAAGATGTGGAAGGTAGCTGAGGATCAATGTCTCGAGGATACACTCAAACAGTATAGACCTATTCACACTAGTATACAGAACCAACAAAACATTGGCACATTGTCAAAAAATGCAGATAAACTCCTCCAGGATTTCTACTTTCAATCATTCAATTCTCTTCAGCATTACTCTCTCCAGGTGAGTATAGAAAAGAAAGCAAAACTTTTCCATCATACTCTCATGTTCTGAACCCTGAATTTTTCCACTCTTGAAATTTTAATCATCAGACCATCTACAATGATCTTCCACGACTGGCACAAGTGTCAAGAGATGAATGGATTCCCTTATCTGTCATCAAGCTTCACATACACTCAACAAAATGGCCTCTTCAAAGTCAAAATGAGGACTTAGCAAACAGTTCATCAGCTATCTGGATACTCAAACAGGCCACTAAAGGTATGAATAGCAAAAACTCAGCCAAAATTACCTAATACAGTTGACGCTTAATATATAACTAACCTCTATACAGGATGTTCTTATTTAAGCACAACATAAGGAAAATTTTGCCCCCTGCTTGTGGGGTTCAGCAAGTGCCTTATATCTGGGTTGCATATCTGCAAGGATAAAAACAATCACTGATGCATTTTCTTGTAGGTATGCAACCTGGTGGGCCTTGTAGCATGAGCAGAGCTCCACATACAGGTGGCAAAATATTTCCTATGCTGTGTTTAAATACAAACATGCAGTATAATAAAATTTCCTCATAACAAATTTTTTAGCCTGCCCTTTGAGTTTGTTATATCAAGCGTTGACTGTACATTCAATCATGAGTTACTCTACTTTGATGCTTGTTTTCAGTTGAAATTGATGACCCTCACCCAGAAAAAAAAAGTTCAGAAGGGAATGTCCAGAAGAAACTCATCCCTTGGAAGGCATTACTACCAGATCTTGAAGCCCTGGAATATTTTCCAACTCCATTGCAAGAGAAGAAATTTGCCAGTACAGGTGGTTTGATTCTTGTTGCTTCACTTGTCAGCAAGTCCACAAATCTTGGAGGACTTTGTCGAACCTGTGAAGTATTTGGAGTGTCGCAACTAGTACTGGCTAGTTTCAAGTACATAGATGATCCCCAATTTCAAAGTCTCAGTGTGACAGCTGAAAAATGGATCAGCATGCTAGAGGTGAAAATCTTTTAGACATTATTGACAATAACACCTTCTTTTAGAAAACTAAGTTTATTGGGATTCTCAATTGAGTAAAAAATCATATTTATAAATAAATGGGTGGCAAAACCGGTAAGCGCCCTGTGAAAATAAAAAAATTCATTTTTTTTTTTAAAGGTGAAACCTGATATGGTGGCTGGTTACTTGAGAAAGATGAAGACAGGAGGATACACAATGGTGGGAGTGGAACAGGCAGCCTCAAGTACTCAACTGGGTCAGATGATATTCCCCAAAAAAACACTCTTGTTACTTGGGTAAGGTTCCCAACAAAATGCAAGAAGAATTTGTGTCCAGAAACTACTTCAGTTTATCTTATATACTTATCATTTGGAAAGAACTGATGCAATCATGATTCATTTTCCACTTGAACATTCTCTTAACTACAAGACTCTAACCAGAAGGATGATCAGACAGCCTAGGGATTTGTTATTCACTGAATAAGTCAGCATGATCTGTCACTGACACTGTAGATGCAATTACTACAAATAACCTGAAGACATTCATGAAATATCAATCTTCTTCAATGCATCCTGCGTAGAAATTCATCTCATTCCAGCAGTTAAAGTTTCATGAGTAGCCAGCCAAGTTTCTGTGGAATATAAGAATTCCACTATGTAGTTAATTTAAAATTTTCATTCTTCAATTCTGTTGGATTTGCTGTTTATCTGTCTCCAAGAATAAATAATGGAAAAACTAAAATTTCATGCACATTTGTCCATGGAAATTAGAAATATCATGGAGTAAACCAGCACAGACATACATGAAAAACATGAATTTCTTGTATGCAGGAACGAACGGGAGGGAATACCAATGGAGCTGCTGAACATGATGGATACATGTGTTGAGATACCTCAGGTTGGAGTCATCCGTTCTCTAAATGTTCACGTCAGTGGAGCCCTCCTCATCTGGGAGTATGCTAAGCAACACATGCTGAAGCTTCCTGAGTTGCCTTGAAAATAAAGTGCAGTTTCCATTTGGATATTTATTTCTTTGAAACGCATTTCACTCTATAACCACTATGTCTTCCACAACATGGTCATCTTTAGAATCTTTTGACTCCTCTGCATCCTCAACTTGCTCTTGAATATCATCTTTGTCTGTTTTCTCTCCCTCCTCATTCTGGCTCATGGTGCCTTTGTCTGTTGTCTTCTCTTGCTCCTCATTCTGGCTCATGGTGCCTTTGTCTGTTGTCTTCTCTTGCTCCTCATTCTGGCTCATGGTGCCTTTGTCTGTTGTCTTCTCTTCCTCATTTTGGCTATTTTCCTCTGCCACATTAGCCAATTCAGAATTAACTTCATTTCTGTCATTACTGGGCTCACAAACATTTCCCTCAATCTCATCAACCTGTGGGAACTGATTGACTGGAACTTGAGAGGAAGTGCTGTCATCCAAAGTAATTACTTCATGAGAAGAGTCTGATTCACATTCTGACTCAGAATCATGAGTTATTTCCACCACATCATCATCTTCATTACTAGAAGACTGCATATAAGCATCTTCATTTTCAAGAGTTTCCCCTTTTCGACTTCTTTTCAATCTTTTAATAGTAAGCAGACCATGAGGTCCTTTCATAACAGTGCAGAAGGGGTGACTATCATCCTGATCATCCAGCTTTCTCTTTCTCATCTCATGCATTGGTTCTAAATTCCTTGATGATGGAATCTGCAACAAAGAAACTCCTCTCTGTGCAAGAGCAGAAATGGATGCCTGTACTGACTGGACATTGGAAACTTTGGTGGAGGTTTGGTGACTTGTCTGCACTTGCTTCATCCATGTAGTTCCTTCTGGAGAACCTTCATCAGCATCACTGGACTCAACATCAATCACATCATCCACTCCCTCAAAGTCATTTTCATCACTGAGATCACCACAATCTTCATCAGAATCACCAAAAGCATCATCGCTGTCTCTCACATGTCTCTCCTCACCCACAAACTGTACTTCATCATCATCAGAGGCAGTGTCTCCATGTGCCTTCCTTAATGTGCTACCATCTTTGGATGCTTCTGCATCTCCAGGGTCCCTACCCCCCATACTCGATGAGCTACCATCACTGGATGCTTCTGCATCTTCAGGGTCCAGTTTCCTAGCCTCATCACCAGCAGATTCTGACACATTGTTCATGTCACTGACTTCATCTTTCAATTGTTCTTCTTCAGACCCATCAGATTCATCCAAATGTTCAGAAGAATCAAAATAACTGGATTTGACTGCATTCATGTCCAGTTCTTTTGAAATGGAAGGGGCTGTTTCTTTATTTGTTTCTACTATGGAGCCACAAGCATTGCCAATCTCACCATTTTGAGCAAGAGGATGCATATCCCTCTTGGTATCCCCATCTTTTACTTTATCCTTCTCAGGAACTGAATCCTTGGAACTGATTGAAGTCCCTGAGTCTGTGTTAACACTCTTCACCATCCCATCTCCTTTTGTATTCACCACTGCACAAACTGTCTCTTGATTCATTGACTTCAGCTCTCCTTTCTTCATTTCACTTAACAAATCTATAGCATCAAAAGATGAAAAAATGTAATAAGCCTAATAATGTTGATAATTTGAACTAGGCTATGGATACACACTTTTAACCAATCCAAATCCAACAGACACATGTTTATAGTAAGGTTTTTCCAACCTGGAGATTAGGAAGTAGGACCTCAATTAATGCCAGAAGCCTAGAGTAAAATGAAAGGCCTCTGTCAAGAAAGGGGAGGAGCTTGTTACGCTCTCCCACTCAGCCAGGTGGTTCAACCAACTCGCCTCTTCTTTTAGTGCACAATAATTGCCTCAGGAAATCTGAGTTCAAAGAGAATTAAAGTCCACCTCCCTGTCCCTGGGTTAGAAAACTCAAACTGCAATCTTTGCTGAACTTCCTCTCAAAACTGAAATATCAAATATCCCTTGCATGTATTACACATACTGAGTTACTTGGACCATGCACTTGAGGGTCACTGACACTCATGTTGCCACATGTTTGCAACCTTGGTCATGTGTACCATAGAGACAAGGATCACTGATTCTAATAAAAAGCTATTTTCAAAAATAAAATAGTTCATTCTCCCAGTGATGCTTCTCCATGGTACTCACAAAAAGGAGAGAAAACTTTTCAAATCAATCAGTCACAAAGAGAGGGAGGAAGAGAGAAATGCATGCAAACAAATTTAAGATGCAAGTTTTTTGAAATGGGATGTAATACAACATCGCTTATTTTCAATAGCTGCCAGGGGGTCTCTCCCAGGGGAATCATCTGATAAAAGTTTCCGTTTCACTCCTCGACCAGTACTTGCACTACTTGCTGATTTAGGTGTCTTTTCAAGCCAGGCAAGTAAAGTCCGCTTGATAGAACCAGTCTTTTTATCACTTAAAGAGCATTGAGGCAAGGGTTTGGCAGGAGAGAACTTGAGGATGTGACGATCTATGGCAGAACAAGATTTGGTCTTGGATCCCTTGATTGGACTTCCATATTTAAAAGGGGTTCTTTGAGAGGGTAAAATCTCTGAGACTCTCTGAGAAGGCCGAGAGGCACTGAAACCATACTGAGACTTATTTTGAACCAAATATGTATGGAAGGAAGATCCAGATGCCTTGATGTCTTTCTTCACCTCTGCTTTATCTAGAACTTTTGCATTTGACCCTTCTGAAAGCACTGCTGAAGAATCCACAGAACCTTGCACCCTCCAGATGCGATGAGTGAAGTCATCTGAGCATGTGATCAGCTGTAAAAGAAAAACACAACTATGAGAAGAGCTAATCAAGAAGCTTTAAGCAAATTAGAGTTAATGGTCTAATTTAGTAGTCTAATCTAAGTAAGAAGTAAAAATGAAGCACATGAAATGTATTAGCAACTCACCTTAACCATGCATGTTTATCGTATCTATCATTAACAAGTGATGGTATATATTTAATTTTAAAAAAGCAACCATATTGACTTTCCCTTTCCCCACAGACTTACTCCATCTCCGCCAACAACATCATGACTGTGTTGAAGATGGATCAACAGGTTCAAATTGCCCTCCATACTTTATTTTTACAGCATCCATATCTGAAAATGAACTGGTGCTAAAGACAGCATGTCCACCAAATATAAGCCCATATTCCCTTTCATCTGGGCAGGTGATATTAGTTGCAATATTTTCTATAGATGCTCCTTTTCTTCAAGGTTTCTAATTTCAACCTAATGAGAATCTAGAAGTCTGTTTTCAGCCTCAACATTTTTCAGTCACATACCTTCAGGTAATGTGATCCAAGCCCTCATGCCTATGTCTCCATAACAGACCATGTGAAACTCCAACCATCCATATAACAACAAGTAAACCTATTGATCTACACATACAAAGTGAACTGAGACCATTTCATCATTCACAACCACCACTTCTCAGGCCTTGTCCAAACCAGAAAGTTTTCTTGTGCAAACAATGAAAGAATGTTGCAAAAGAAAGATTTTTTAAAGAAAACTTTCAAAGAAATCTAGAACATTGAAAATCTTGCATATAAAAATTTCAAAGTAGTCCTCAATATGAAAGGTCTCTTTGCAAATCAACTTGCAAAAAAAATTGAATAGAAAAATTTCTGGTGTGGATGAGGCCTAAGGCTATACAATGAGTCTGCTCTACTTAGGAAGCAATCACTATGATTCACTTTCAATGATGCCATTTTCAACATAGTTTAATGTATGTAACCCTTCAAGGTAAGCATCCTAATTCTCCACAACCCATATACTAACCCTATGACATTAGTGAATTACTTACTCATGTGCATCCCTTCAGATACCACAGAAGTCCCACTTGATGAGTAAAGACTTGTGAAATTCAAAATTTAAATCAAATAGGCCTAAGTACAAACCTTGGTGAGATCAAATGCACTCCAAGCCACAGCAGTGACTTCGCTGCTATGGCCTGGAAGCATGAGAAGAGGTTCACAACTGTGTACATTCCAAACATATGCCACACCGTCCTTGGAACCACTCAGAAGATAACGGCCATCAGGGCTCAGAGACATGCGAGTGCTAAATGATGTCTTGTGTCCTGAATAGCGTGCCACTAGGCATCGGCAAAAAAGAGAAGAAAACCCTGTCATAAGAGATCAATGTTGAAATGGTAATGAAAACTTGATAAACTTGATCGTCTTACCAGGCTTTGTACTATTAGAAGATAAGCTAAACTGATACACAGAATTGTCTGTGCAGGATGCAAAGATGCGTATCCCACTGCCATCGGTGATGAGATGAGTGAAGCTGTGTCTAGCTTGACTTGGTCCACTATATGGGAGAATGTACAAAGGGTCTGGTATACCTCTGTACACTGAGTAGCTCTTCCGAAGATCCCAGACTTTGATACAGCTAGAGAATGACAAGAAAATACTCATGACTGCTGAGCTAGCCTAATCCTAACCTCTACAGCCATCACACACTTGTGTACTATTAAGAAAAAGGGGATAAGAATTCATATGTTGAGGAAGGAAGAAGTTTCTGACATTTTGTTTGGGAAGGTCCAATCAATAGTTCAGTGGAAAATAAGTGCATATGCAATGTCTTTACATCAGGGAATGTATGGTCATACAGGTTGGTCAAACGTATTAAGTTGTTTTTATTTGGACTCTAGAGTGGTTAAGTTATGAAAATGAAAATTTCTCAAATATACCACGACAAATCAAAACTGAAGGGAGGAAGTGCTCACCTCTCTATGTCAACACTTGAGCTTAACTGAAACTGATCTTGGAAGACAAGAGATTCAACAGTGAGGTATTTGAAGGCCTTTGCGTTTCTAGAACGACTCCTTGGAGATTCATAGTGAACTGAAAGACAATAAGACAGGATTGACATTCAGCACTGCATCAATCTGGAATACATCATTATGTTTGCCCTGAGAGGCAAAACAGATGAAGGAAAGCACTTGAGGTCTCACCATCAGCTCCTGGTGCAGCCAGGGATAATCGAATACAATTTTCTGAGATGCCACTCCTCACATCCCAAACTTGTATACATGAATCTCTCCCACCACTGGCAAATATATCTGAAACCAAGAAAATTTCCATAATGAGGGAGGATGAGGTGATCAACAGGAATTTTAACAATATATGACCAAGGCTAATATTGGGCCTGGATAAATATGCCAGTACTTACAAGGGTCTTTAGGCTTGAAAGACACAGTTTTGACAGCTCTTGTGTGCCCACTACTGAAGGAAATTGGACTCAAGCCTGTGGGGGTCACTTGCAAAACCAAACATGTGCGGTCAGCAGAAGCTGTGGCCAATATTGGTGCATCATCTGCCCAACTCAGATCAAAGACTGCATTTCCATGATGGGCACATCCTACATTAGAAATGCAAGCCATTACCAAAAAATCACCAGAGAGGGACCCATGCCTTTTGAGCCAGGCCCCATCATTGTCTATCATTATCCTATTCCTTACTCACCTTGGAGAAATCCAATTTTTGGCTTTGCAGCTTCTGAACTTCTGGTATCTTGAATGACAGTCAAGCCTTCTTCATTAACAAATGCAGCAAAATGCTCCAATCCATGAAACTTGCTGAATTCACATGCATAAACTGGTGGCTCCCATGATGCAGGTGCATCTTGGAGAAAGTCTTTTGCATGGAAATTGGACTCTGCATCTAAGTTAAGGCATGAAAACCGGCTCAATAGCCAGTCCAACCTAGACTGAAGTCCCTTTGCCATGCAGTTCAAATCTCATATCATGAACACCTGTTATTCACATGAAAGATTGACAGAAGTTTCTCTGTTCAGCCTATTCTTAACAATTGCCTAATTTCATTAAACTAAAACTGTCTATAGTGCAAACCAGATTGTGCCACTTCCAGCATTGGCCATGAATAAAGACTTATAATTAGTCTACTTAGGTTCTTTCTATCATATCCACTTCTTGAATTCAGTCTTTAACCCTAATCTGGACAAGGTGAGTCTGTTGGACTCCACCACAATTTTTCTGTCATGATTACACATCTAGAAAGATATCTATACATTGAATTTTATTATTCCACACCATTTCATTATGTGTGAGACTTGATTAAATATTTGCATGCACTAAAGTACACATTTCAACCATTTTCCAAAGAATCTTTCTAGAACTTTTGGGTTTTCAAAGGTTGCTGACTACCTTAAATTAAAATTCCATTGCTTAAAATCCAACTTTTTAAAACCTGAAATTCATACATATACATGTATGCAAAGATATGGAGGAGCAGATAAGATACTTGTATGGTTATAGTATGTCTATCTAATACATAGTGGGGCATATGTCACAGCTGATAAAGAGACATGGCCAAATCAGACATGAAACATACATGAAATCATGTTACTCTCATAAGTCTCTCCAAAATGTAAAATATAACTTCAGGAACTTAGCTGAGAATGGGCACTTCATCTGTCACTTCTATGAAAATACAAAAACCATTCATTTCCAACACAGCACCAGTACATCCCAAATATATCCCAGAGATATCTTCTAGGGGCTTCTTGGCTATATCAAAATGTCTAAGTGTTTCTTTCTGAAATAGACTCATTTCCTGCCAAACAGGACAACCCTATAAAAATAAAGTATGGTATTCTTGGACTGGAGATGTCTCAAAGACATCTCTAAGAAGTCCAGAAGACATCTCTTTTGAGATGTCAGAAACAATCCAACTGATGATGTCCCCATGCTGTGCGAGTACGTAGAAGTTTCAAGATCCCAAATCTTCTTAGGAACATGACTTCTCCATTTAGGGCTGCTGGGATATGGGATGTATCTTTCTCTCAAAATCATGTGTTCTTATTTTATGTATATTAATTTTTTCCTTCACTGCACTTCTTTCAAATAAGGCTTATTTACTAATGCCAATTTTGCAGCATTCTAAGAAGCAGGCAAAAGCACCAAGTTTTCTCAATGACCTCATGGGAAAAATAAGTCTCTATTGTTTGCAAATATGCCAGGGGTTTCATTTTTTAAATGTTATACTTGCCTCTTTCCTGCTATGCATCAGTAACCCATTAAATGGTCACAACTAGTTTATTTGTCACTGCCACAATGCACTAGCAATGGACAACTAAAGTTTCTAATCTTTCCACTATTTTCCATTAACTGCAGCTAGGAGTCAGAGAGGAATAATCGAGATAAGATTATAAACTAAGGTAAGCCAACTTCTCCTTAACCCATTGGATTATAATTTTTTATAGCATTTTGTTGCTAAAAAAAATGATCCAGTGAGTGACCACAGTTCATTAAAAGATTTTTATGAGTTAAGAACTCATGTAGCCCATGTTACTTTTATGAAGTCAAAAATTTTTGAAAAAAGTTTTGTTCCCTTCTGTTAGGAAAAAAAAACCCAGTCCATCTGAATGTGTAAAGGCAAATACTTAATTCCCATCCAATTGTTTACACATTCACTGCCAGTCTCTAAAGCTACCAGCCAGTTTGTCAAGCATTTTCAGACATGATTCCTAAATTGATTGTTTGGAATCTGTATTTGATCAAACTGTAGAGAAGATCATCTGTTACCTGACAGAGGAAGATGTACTTAATTAGATGAGTGTTCCATCCATTCTCAGGCATGAAAGGCATGTATGATACATGTTTCACCAGTATGAGGCCAGTCTTAGAGATTCATCATGAGATTTGGATGCAATTCACAATTGGCAAACTTTGTAGGAGATATATAAATCAACTACTTCTATAAATCACTGTCCATATCATTAGAGAAGTTCTGGAAACTTGTCTGTGAGCCAGGGAGAAAGGATTAGATGACTTCATCAATCATAGCTCAAATACCAATGAGTGAATTGACATTGCACCCTACCCACTTTGTTCATGGTCATAATCCCATTACCACTGATTGCACACTCTCTCTAAGAAAGTTTGCAGACTCAACAACAAGGTGATAAGTCAAATCCTATGATAGACTACTATTTATGTTCGTCATGAGGTTCATGATGTGCACAGAGACAGTGTTCACATAACAAAGGATACCCACTTCAGTCTTACTGAGACTTATTGGTAGAAAATTCTTTGTAAACTAGGGAACTTTCTACAGAAAAGTCTGTTTAGGATGTCAATGCAAAGTAGAATACATATGGCTGAGAGTTGAAGAGTACCCCAATGTGATGCCAACAAGAAGGCTTTGGTAAAATGTAGATGGTAGGGTTAGGAAGGTTACAAATGGCATGTGGATGGAGTTATAGGACTATAATGCTTAATTTAAGATTTAAAAAAAGGGCCCCTTTCCTGTGGGGCCTCAAAATAGGGAGACATGATTGATAAGACACATAGAATGGTATTACGCCACTGCTAATAATGCAGAAGGTACCAATCTGCTTAGGGGACAGTTATTGCCTATTCTTATAGAGTGGAGTACCATTATATTTTTCCCAAGTTGACGTCTCCCAACCCTCCCCTGTAGAGGAGAGAAAGAAAATGCGAAAACTGCATGTTAGCATAGGAGATATCAACCTAACAGACCCAGGCTGAGGATAAATGGCATAATCTACAAAAGCTCAAGCCTTCCACATGTGAAACATTTACGAAAAGCTAGGCCTAACAAATCTAAGTTACTCAGAGTCCTGAGATAAAGTTGATTTTCCCTTTCGCTCTTGGGGGACACGCTGTGCATAGCATGCCATCATTAATTGATTCACTGTCAAAAACGATTTCTCAGACTACATGCAAGCCTGCTAGAGACCTGAAAGCCAATTAACGCATTAACACAGGTAGAGAGAGATATACCCAAGCTACGCCGACAGCACCCATGTACGAGGCCATGATAGTGTTCGCGCCAGCGCCGTAAATTCCCAAGGTTGCGTTCGTTTTCTTTGCTTTGGATACAACTTTGTATTAGGTTGGCCAAAAAGTTCTGCAACACTTGAGAAAAAGTTTATTTTTATGCGGAAATTTATTTAAAAACAATAACAACTACTCTTCAAAATAAAGGCCATCGTTTTCAACAATCTTATGCCACCGATCTGCAAGCTTTCGGATTTGATTGAAGTACCATTCTGCCATCGGCTATTTATCGGGTCCATATGTCATCGGAATCGAATCGTTTGTACCATCGGGAAACAGTTGTGAAGTGGACGGTTCCTTCGCCTTCAGCATCACAAATCTCTTTCGCAGCATCTCTGATTGAAAGTCGTCGCTTCCAACAATAGCGTATCAAGACTCGAAGCTCGATTTTGTCCAATGTCATCTAAAACTTTGAGGATAATGATGAACCCGGAACACGATAAACACAAAAACAACAAAAATTGTGCATAAAATACACAAAAAATTAACAAAAGTTAATTATTAACAATGCGCATAAAAATCAAATTTTTCGCAAGTGTTGCAGAACTTTTTGGCCAACCTAGTATTTTCGCTTTCTTCTTAATATTTTCTGACAGGGGAAATTGAGGAACCCCAACGATGATACCGTCAGCAGAGGGACAAAGGTCGCGAGGCGTGAAATCTGCTGAGAACGGGACTCCGGGGAAGTAATGAGCATCGGCGTCGAATTCGGAGCCGGCAGACCCGATTCCGGAATTGCCTAGACCGGCCATGTGATTCAATATAGCGTCCACGTAGATTCTGACTCAGAAACAGTTGTGTAGTGGACGGTTCCTTCGCCTTCAGCATCACAAATCTCTTTCGCAGCATCTCTGGTCGAAAGTCGTCGCTTCCAACAATAGCATATCAAGACTCGAAGCTCTATTTTGCCCAATGTCATTTAAAACTTTGAGGATAAAGATGAACCCGGAACACGATAAACACAAAAACAACAAAAAATTGTGCATAAAACACACAAAAAATTAACAAAAATGCGCTTAAAAATCAAGTTTTTTGCAAGTGTTGCAGAACTTTTTGGCCAACCTAGTAATTATTTACATTAGAGCCCGTCATAAAATCTGCTAAGTCCATCGCTTCAACAGCATATCGATTGCTTTTGTCTGGACTCTGAAGAGAAAGTGTTTTCTATTACGTAACGTTATTTTCAATACTCTCCTTTCCCAGAGATAGGTCTATTCCCTATAGGGTTCAAGGTTCAAGGTTTGCTTAGGGCAGGGGTTCCCAAACGTTGGATGTTGAATTTTGAGTCGTGACCAAAGAAGTTTGGGAACCAATGGCTTAGGGGCATCAAGAGACGTCCCGGGGCGAGGTCGAGTGTTCGTTATCATAAGATAGGCCTATTCTTTTTAGAAATATAAATTTTTGTGGGAACAAAGCCACCTACTGTCTAGTCGTGTATTCCTACGCTAGGATCACCATACGTCCCGTTTTTTAAGGCTCTGTCCCGGTTTTCGGCAAAATTGCACCTGTGTCCCAGTATTTCCCCCCTCCCCCCTTATATTTTTTGCATAAAATCAAGGGCATCACTGCTTCCATACCACAGTTCATAGCTGAGAAGATTCCCATTTCTGTGTGCTTTGATTATGTGGGCGCGGCCGCCGAATGGAATTACGTGTTCTCCGTGTACGTAAAAGGGCCCTATTAATAGCCGATGGCAGAATGGTACTTCAATCAAATCCGAAAGCTTGCAGATCGGTGGCATAAGATTGTTGAAAACGATGGCCTTTATTTTGAAGAGTAG